CCCCAAATTCATATCTAACCCCCAATTCGACGGTATTTGGAGGTAGGGCATTTGGGAGGTGACTGGGTTTAGCTGAGGTCATGTGGGTGGAGCCTTAATGGGATCAGTGTTATAAAAAGAGACACCACAGAGCTCTCACTACACTTCTCTCTCCCCCTCCACCAAGTGAGGACACAGCGAGAAGCTAATGCCCTCAAGGCAGGAAGAGGGCTCTCACCAAAATCCAGTGTGCCGGCACCCTATCCTCCGACCTCCAGAACTGTGAGAAATCAATGTCTGTTGTTTATGCTGCCAGTGAGTTTGTTACTACTAAGACAATGACAACAGGACCATAGCATTGATCTATCAAAAGTTAATGGATTTTAGAGCAGTGAAACCTGACATCAGACAGGTTTTACTTTTTAAACCCTTAACGAATGATGACAAATTCCTGATATTTCTATTTAGCTGGCAAAAGGTCTTCACTCACTCATCGGACGGGACAGCAAACCTGTGTGGGGGTACAGTCACCGCTGGCGCCATCTGCCCTCAAGTCCAGCACACCTGGAGCATCTCTCCAGCTCTCCACTTGAACCCCTGCCTGCTGCCCCCAGGGAGCAGTAGCCCAGCACGCCCACCTGCTGGACGGAATAAAAGCAAGAACAGGACGAGGGAGTGGACCTCTGCACCCAGACCTAGCAGTCTGCCATTAGTGGCTCTTCACCATCTGTACAATCCCCACCCCACTCCCCAGTCATTTCCAAAGAGTACGATTAGGATTTCTTCTGTCTAGGTAGAATTTTATTGGAATGAAAATTTATTCTTACGTTTCCTCTGTGTAGAGTAACTAAGCTGAAGGGCATTAAGGCTGGCACTGTATGAAATACAATCACATATGTATCTAACCTAAATATCCCTTAAAGTTTAAAGTTTCAAATTTTATAGATTTAAACTCCACTTTAATATTTTAGTAAGTATTTTTGCACATCGTGTCCACTCAGTGCAAAGGCTTCTGGGAGCTGACTGCAACTGAACACACATGATCCAGAACCCTCCCGAACTGAGTCAACCCATCGCCAGGAATGGTGAAGATGGAAAGAGACTTAAGAACTTCCCAATCTCTGTACATTGCTCTGAACACTGTAAACAAGAAACATCTTTGCTCTTATGTGATACTACAGCTCAGTACTTATACACAGCAGGGAGAAAGAGGGGAGGGAAGAATCTGAAAAGGAAGAAAACACTAAGTCACAAGCAAGACAAATGGGTAGTTAAGAAGGCTCGCAAGTCATCTTAGAATAAGTGCATGGAACACTGGTGGTCTTCTTGTGGCCACGAGGTCTCTGAGCACCTCGCTGTTTGCTACTTAAGGAAAGTGAGCACCCAAGGAGAGACTGGCAGCAGATCACATGAATTCCAAGCAGGGGTGTGGGCGGAGGACAGAAGCTGTGAACCTTTGGCCTATAGGAGAAAAAACAAGGACAAGGCTTGGATCAGGTGGCCTGAGGAGAGAGGGCAGCTTGGGAAGAGGACCATGGCCAGACTGTGGAAAGGTCTAGCAGTTAATGCAATAGGACGTGAGTCTAGGAAGAAGACGAGGAGAAGAGAGACAGATTTTTACTTTGTGACTGTGTCCCGGCTGAAATAGGGAAGGAAACATTTCAAAATAGAGGAATGTCACATCAAATGCTGCTGGAAAGTCAAAATAAAAGGAGAACTGAAAATATACTTTGGATTTAGCATCATGGAGGTCCTCATGCTCTGACATTTTCAACTACCAGCAGGTACCAAGGTCTACACACGAAGGGCTCGGAATGGCTGAAAAATGTCAATCACTTCCCACCCAGTGACTTCTCAGTCAGTCTAGATCCTCAGGACCAGGGTCTTCAGAGCAGGGCGCATGCAAAACAACCCACCAAAACACAAGGACAAAATATCAGCACTTTTATTCCTTTATAATCTCACCTCTTTCTGATATCTTATTTTAATAACTAGTACACAATTAGTAATCAGTAAAACCAGCATATCTGTACATGTAGATACATACATATGTGTGTGTACATGCACATTTGCACACACACACACCCCTTATATACAAACTTGGGAGAGTATGCTCAAAAGTTGTTTCCTCCCTGGAATGTGGAGGTAACTGCTCCAGACTCCCTACTTCTGAGCCTCAAAGAGGGGACAGGATGACACATCAGTGCTCTTGCCCTCAAGCTCTTCTGAATAAATATATTTCAGGAAGTGGGGTCATTCTAACTTAAATCTTGTAATTGAGGAAGGCATCTTTCCTACCTGGGTACCCTGCATAAGAAAAAACACTCCTACCTGCCTGGGAAGAGTGGCCACTGAGAAAACTGGGCAGTGACAGACACGATGCAGCAGTGAAACCCAGGCGCCCTCCACAAGAATAGCATGCACAAACGTTACCTCAAACTGCCATCTCTTAGCACCCCAAATGCTCTTCAGGTTGCCCTAAAGACACCAAACATGCACTACCTCAGTAGGAACTGGAACAGCCACTGTCCTCTCAGTCTTACTGAAGCGGCTCCCATACACCAAGAGCCCATCCTCTAAGACGGACAGACAGACCAGGGTTCTCCAGATACTGCCCCACCAGAGTGGCCAAGGTCGGCTAACACAGTTACACCTCACACAGATGCAGAATGGATTTCATTACTTACTTGAAATTCATTTTCATTCTGAGCTTGTTCGGATCCCTCCTTATTACAGGACCTCTATGAATGAGAAAAAGCAAACACTTCCGGTGAGATGGGGAACACTCAGCAGACGGTAACTTTGCAACCATCAGAACAGCCAGGGTTAACAAAACATCACAGATTTTTAATGAGTGTTTCTCAGCCCACTGATGTCTAAAATGCACCACCAGTGTCCAGCACTGATACCAACACCTGAGGAAGCGCTTCGTTTCTTTACAAGGAAAGGGATGTGCTGTTGAGACCAAGGAGCTGCGACTCACAATCACTCTGGTGTACCACTTCACAATTTCATTGTTTGAGGAAAGTCAATAGAGAGAGGGCGGTCTTCCAATCAAGCCTTCCACAAATGGTCAAGCTGAGTCTCACCAATCTAGCCAGGTGGGTCTCTACTGGGAGGAAGGCCACCTTCTGGCAAGAACGGGGTGTATATATATGCCTGTGGCAAGCATGGTCAGCACAGAACTCAGAGAAGAAAGCCCTGTGCAGGCAGGTGACTTGGCACAGAAACTGTGCAGATGAGCCTGCCAACTTGCTGCTTTCAGACTAATGCTGCTTGTTCCACTCCACATGAATTTGCCCTCCACCAGAAGGAGGTTTGTGCAAATTAATAAAGTCCCTAAACTTATTTCCCATATTAATATATGGAGGGACACTTTCACATCACTTTCCCCAATGAAATTGCAAATTATTGGTAACCAGGACTTTAGCAATAACAACAACTAAATCATGAGCTGCCACCTGCCGCTCTGGCTACATTCTTTCTTCATGACACAGACCATTTCTTCTCAAAGCAACCCCCACCCCAAGTGCTTTAAAAACCTTCATACTAGCTTCTAACCAGGGTATGGGGAAAAGCAACTCAGAAATTTAAGTGTCATGTCAAAAATTGAACTCAAATACTGCCTCTAGAAATATGTTGTTAAAATTAAACTAAAGTCTGCTATGTCAGACACAGAATGAAGCCCATAAAGGAAGCTCTTTAAAATGTTAAGGTAAGAGATTCTTGAACACCCCAAGAAAAACATACCTTTCCATTCCACAGCTTTATCAAAAATACCTGTACCAAGGGCGGAAAGTGTGGACAGGAAAAAAAAATGCCACGTTAAGCAACAGGAGCTACTCTAGCACCATTCAAACCACCTAGCGACTTAAAGCAACACTCACCCATCATACACGGAAGTAACGTTCCAGAGACGTTTTAATGTGTTTTGTATAAACAGTATTGTGTTCTAGCTTACTCGATATGAGAGTAAACAAAATAAATATTCATGTGTGTGAAGCTATCTGCAAAGACTTGCACTTACATATACTCAATAGTATCTTTACCATACGGTTAAGTACATTTTGTACAAAGTACAGAAAATACAAATGAGGTATATGACATTTTGTGTAATCTGCATCTCTTGGATGAAACAGTGGTACAGGTTAAATCCCGTTACAATGAGAGCTACAAAAATGGAAATACCACAAATACTTTTAGACCTCTGCTGGTGGCTCGGTGCGTGATGTGATAAACCTTAGGGGGGAGTAATCAGGTATCATGAAAGCTTCACTCTAAAATACTCTCATGACTGCACTGTTAGCTGAGACTTGGTCTCCTCTCCCCAGTGGCCAACAAGTAACTTATGAATATGGACTCCATCTTTTATTTATGTCCTTCCCAAAAGCACCAAGCAAATCCTGGTCTTTAAACACTTTTTGGATGGCATGAATAAATGAACACTCTGGCACTGTGAAGTTCCAGGTGGCCAGCTCAAGGTGCAACCTAGGTTGCTAGAGCCAACCAGGTGTAGCAAACTCACATCCAGGATCCCAGCAGTGGGAAACTGGCTATGGTGTTAACTGGAATGAGAATAGGGCTGAAATGCCCCCAAAACATTATATCCTTGTGCTTTTGCTCTCCAAATAAAGTTAAGCACAAAAGAAGTTCTATTATCTATTTCATATTGATACTTTGCAGGGAAAGCTTGAAGACAAGGAATTTGGGTATCCTACTGAAACCTGCTGTAGCGGGATTTGACCTGTACAGAGTTCTAAATGACTATGGTTACTCCTATGCTGTTATTACTAGAACTGCATCTTCTTAGGGAGATACAGTAAATGGGTTATTAAGCCAACAGAAGTCCCCTTTCCTTGTCTAATGGTGCTCTCAAAAGCAAGCCACTTCATCCAAAGTTAGAATTGGCTTAGTTCCCAAGGCCATTCCTTTTGAACACATTAGCACCATTAGGTGAAAATAACTC